TTGGTTGAGAAGCCCGACAACAACCACAACATCATTGGTACAAAATGGGTGTTTCACAACAAGCAAGATGAAGATGGACAAGTAGTTCGCAACAAAGCATGTCTCGTCGCCCAAGGCTACACTCAAGTCGAAGGTATGGACTATGGTGAGACATACGGCCCCGTTGCTAGACTTGAGTCCATTCGCATCTTACTTGCCTATACTAATCACCATGATATCACCTTGTACCAAATGGACATTAAAAGTGCTTTTCTAAATGGTGAAATAGAGGAGGAAGTTTATGTTAAGCAACCTCCCGGCTTTGTCAATCCTAAGAACCCTAATCTTGTTTACAAACTTCACAAAGCCCTTTATGGTCTTAAACAAGCTCCTAGAGCTTGGTATAAATGCTTAACCAAGTTCCTTGTTGAAAAAGGCTTTGAGATTGGAAAGATTGATTCTACTCTTTTCATTAAAAGGGTTAATGGAGAATTATTTGTGTGCCAAATTTAGGTCGATGATATTATATTTGGATCAACTAACCCTCATTTTAGTGAGAAGTTTGGGAAGTTAATGTCGGAGAAGTTTGAGATGTCTATGATGAGTGAACTCAAGTTCTTTCTTGGTTTGCAAATTAAGCAAACTAAGAAACGCACCTTTGTCTGTCAAATGAGGTACACCAAGGACTTGTTCGAGAAGTTCAATATGCAAGAATGCAAAGGTATGAGTACACCCATGCCTACTAGTGGACATCTTGACTTGACTAAGGACGATAAACCTGTTGATAAAAAAGTTTATCACTCTATGATTGGTTCATTGTTATATCTATGTGCTTCACGTCCCGATATTATGCTAAGTGTGTGCATGTGTGCACGATATCAAGCGGCTCCTAAAGAATGTCATCTTAAGGCCGTGAAAAGGATAGTGAGATACTTAATTCATACACCAAAGTTTGGCATTTGGTATCCAAAGAGGGCATCTTTCAATCTTGTTGGCTACTCTGACTCGGACTATGCCGGTGACAAGGTTGATAGAAAGTCCACTTCGGGTACTTGTCAATTTCTTGGTAGATCTCTTGTGTCTTGATCTTCCAAGAAACAAAACTCGGTATCCTTATCCACCGCCGAAGTGGAATACATTGCCGCTGGATCATGTTGTGCTCAATTACTTTGGATGACCCAAACTCTTAAGGATTATGGGATATATGTGAAACATGTTCCATTACTTGTGACAATGAAAGTGCTATCAAGATTGCTCACAATCCCGTGCAACATTCTCAAACTAAGCATATTGAAGTTCGTCATCATTTCATTCGAGATCATGTTGCCAAAGGGGACATTAATCTTAAGCATGTTCGCACCGATAAACAATTAGCGGATATATTCACTAAACCACTTGATGAGAATGTGTTTTGCAGGTTAAGAGGTCAATTGAACATCATTGATGCTTCAAACTTGGAGTAGGAACTCCATTTGGATACATGCAAGGCATGAGCCTATGACTAATCCTTGATACTTTTTCTCATGTTGCTATTTAAATGTCTTGGATATATTTGCACCCTTGCATGCTATCTAACCCTTGTAGGAACTTGGATGAATCTAAATCTATGAGATTGCAACCCACTCACATCTTGAGCAAATCTCTACATCATCAAGTCTCCACACAACGGTGGATGAAGACAAGGAAGCACACAACCCTTCTAACATATCCTATGACATATTCAGTCTCGAACATTATAATTGTCATTTTGGATACACAAGTGCTCTTCCTTGCAAAACTAACACATGTAGGTAGATGAATTCACACTCCAAGTGGTGCTCCCAATTCTTGGTGAGCTACATCAACTTTGAGCAATCCACACAAGTTCAACTACATGTCCACAATCAACACCACCACCCAAGGTATGTTATTCCATCTTAGAGAAGCTTTACTCCGAGTCATGAGTCAAAGCAACTCAACAAGATGAGAATCCATCAAATGCTTAAAGGAAAAACGGTAACCCCATTTTGAGCTTAAACGATGAGTATGACCTATGATCAAGTGAACTCACTTGACTCCTATGTCAATATACTCTAACATAGGTGACTTTGTCGCCGACCAATTCTAGATGAGGTTCTCTCATTTTCTTTTCTGTGCTCTTGCATTTGTTCCATGCATATTTGTCTCATAACTTCATCTAGGTCTCTGTTCCTTTTTGTGTTTTATCCTTCAGTTAATTCTTTGCAATTCCTTGTGAGATCTTACTTGTCTAGTGAGCTGAGGTGACATGTGTTCTCTCTGTCATGAACTCGGTCACACCGGTCTGATGTGTTCGGTCCAACCGAAGTCTTTTGGTGCAACCAAAGCACACAAATCAGTGTCACCGATTTCACAACAGGAAAAACACCTTGCCACTTATTCCTGAATTCTTTTGTTCCAGCTCCACTCAATGAATCTTGTCCTCTACCATCATCAATTTAGCCTTACTACTTTGTTTTGTGCCTCAAGGACCAAACCCATTTGTAAGAAAAATCCAGAAGAACCCTTCTTGGAAATTGATGTCAAAGGGGGAGAGAGAGATCACATCAAAGCTTAATCATATCTATAGGGGGAGAGAATACTCAAGGGAGAGAGAGAGTAATGTTCAAGGACCCTAGGTGCTTGATGTTCAAGAGGAGAGAAGTCACATGTCTTTAAGAGGGGAAAGACATGTTCATATCTGTTTGTCTGCATTAGCTCTGTTTCTTTTATTTGAGCTCTAATTTTATGTTCCCTATCTTCTCTCAGTATCCCATGCTAGATTCAGGGGGAGCAAGACATCTAAGGGAAGGAAATCCTTGAATTCAGTGCACATCTTTACCTTTGGGGACATGTCCATATCCAATGGGGTACTCAGTACTCACTCTCTACATGTCATCCCAGTCTTGGTATTCTTGAGGTTTCTTTTGTTTGCTCTGGCTAGTAGGTGCATCTGTGTTATCTAACCTTGTTTACGCAGGTTCATTCCATCCTAAGCCAACTCAAGACCACAAGGTAAGTATATGCATCACAGTCATGTGTATGAGGATCTCTTGCTGATGTACATACTGTTTGCAAGAAGGACTCATGAGCATGAAGGTACATTTCCCATATTCACATCTTTTTCTCTGATGCATATAGCCAAGATACATGTAACACATTGCTTACTCTGTCATGCTTATGCATTCACATGCTCCTATATTCCATATTTACATGATTGCATACATATAGGAGGAGCCTATGCATGTTACATGTCTTTCCAAAGCTTTACTTGTTATTCTCTATATATATTTATCTAAATCTTTGATGTATGTTGTCATCAATTACCAAAAAGGGGGAGATTGAAAGCACAAGTGCTTCCTCGGTGATTTTGGTAATTTATGTCAACATATCTCTTGTTGGACTAATACCTTTACCTAGTATGTTTCAGATAAGTTCAACAATGGGGTGGCATGGACCAGAGGATGTGGAACCCCTTCAAGACGCTAAGGACAAAGGATTGGGTCAAGCTCAAAGCACAAGACTCTACCTTTTCTATTTTAGTGATCCAAGATCACATTGAGTCTATAGGAAAAGCCAATACTATCAATAGGGGATGAGGTGTTGCTTAATGGCTTGCTTGCTCAAAGTGCTTAGTGGTATGCTCCAAAGCCCTCAACCACTTTCTCACATCCACATATGTCCCAAACCAAAAGTCAAAATCGGCCCTACTGAATTTGTCTATCCGGTGCCACCGAGTTCAGTTGACATAGCCACTGCCACAACCCTAGTCTTTTCGGTCTCACTGATAGGGATCTCGGTCTCACCGATATGGGACTGTAGTCTCTCTGTATGTATCCATTACCAAAATTGGTCCCACCGAGTTTGTAATCGGTCCTACCGAGCTTACAATGCAAACTCTCTGTTCCTCTTCGTAACGTTTCGGTCTCACCGAGATGAGCAAATCAGTCCCACCTAGTTTGCCTGACCAACTCTCTGGTTACCTTATTACCAAAATCGGTCCCACCGAGTTTGTGTAATCGGTCTCACCGAGATTACGTTATGCCCTAACCCTAACCATATCGGTCCCATCTAGTTGACATGTCGGTCCTACCGAAAATCCTAACGGTCACATTATTTGCTAAATCGGTCCGACCGAGTTTCACGATTCAGTCCCACCGAGTTTGGTAAGTTGTGTGTAACGGTTAGATTTTGTGTGGAGGCTATATATACCCCTCCACCCACTCTTCATTCCCGGAGAGAGCCATCAGAACATGCCTACACTTCCAACTTACATTTTCTGAGAGAGAACCACCTACACTTGTGTTGAGGTCAAGATATTCCACTCCTACCATATGAATCTTGATCTCTAGCCTTCCCCTAGTTGCTTTCCACTCAAATCTTTTTTCCACCAAATCCAAATCATGTGTGAGAGAGTTGAGTGTTGGGGAGATTATCATTTGAAGCACAAGAGCAAGGAGTTTATCATCAACACAACATTTGTTACTTCTTGGAGAGTGGTATCTCCTAGATTGGCTAGGTGTCACTTGGGAGCCTCCGACAGGATTGTGGAGTTGAACCAAGGAGTTTGTAAGGGCAAGGACATCGCCTACTTCGTGAATATCTACCCTAGTGAGGCAAGTCCTTCGTGGGCGACGGCCATGTTGGGATAGACAAGGTTGCTTCTTCGTGGACCTTTCATGGGTGGAGCCCTCCGTGGACCCGCGCAGCCGTTACCCTTCGTGGGTTGAAGTCTCCATCAACATGGATGTACGATAGCACCAACTATCGGAACCACGTCTAAAAAATCTCCGTGTCTCCAAATTGCGTTTGCATACTCCAATCCCATCCCTTTACATTTTTTGCAAGTTGCATGTTTTACTTTCCGCTGCTCATATACTCTTCGCATGCTTGCTTGTTATGTATTGTGAATGTTAAACTTGTGCCAAAACTCCACTCAAATTTAAAGAAATTAAAAACTGCTACTTTTCTCACTTAGTGTCTAATCACCCCCTCTCTAGATACATCTTCTCGATCCTTTCACCATGGCGCTCACTGTACGTGACGGCACACAATTTTTCTCCCATGTGTCATCTCTTAACATACATAGCTTGGTGACTCATATTTTCGGCATGTGCATGCAGTCTTTGGGGAGCCAGATGGCATTTCAGGCAATGGCGTCGATCACGGCGATAGGGTTGTACATCTCCTACGCGCTGCCCATCTTCTTCCGGGTGACCACTGCCCGGAAGTCGTTCCTACCAGGGCCGTTTCACCTTGGCCAGTATGGGATCGCCGTCGGATGGGCTGCCGTGCTTTGCCTTCGTCACTGTGCTCTTCTCTTTGCCGGTGGCGTACCTGGTGGCAAAGGATGACTTCAACTATACCCCGGTAGCTGTTGGTGGGGTGTTGCTGCTCAGCATTGGGGCCTGGGTGCTCCACGCACGGTTCTGGTTCCAAGGGCCCATCATAAATGTTGACACAGTCTAGAACTTTGCATGATGCAATATTGGTTGCACGTGAAGAGATGGATTGCTGATTAAAAAGGTCCACCACATAGGTTCCTGTGTGCGGCAGTGTTATCGTTACTGTTGGAAACAGTCTTCGGCTGCTCTCCTATACGCACGCCACACGGGAATATATCGGGTGCACCCACGCTTGAGGTGCCACGAGGTCCTTGAGTGTCGAAAGACCACGAAATTTTGGTCGCACCTTATGCATGTAAGCATATCAGACCCCAACAAAATTCAGATTGTTTAATTTTTTTCGAATTTACGATTCAACGGATGTAGATATTTTGGTTTTTTTGCCACGAGCTCCTCGAGTGTCGAAAGACAACGAAAATTTGATCGTACCTTGCGCATGTAAGCATGTTGGACACCAAAAAAAATTCAGTTTTTTAAGTTTTTTTAATTTACTGTTCATCAGGCGGTTTGTGACGGTCAAACCCGGTCAAGGTGCTCAAAACTTTATTTCGGACCAAACTTATCCGATTTTGAGACTTGTTGGGAGCATGTGTAGATGTGAGAGCTACCGCTTGAGAGCCCATTTCTCTAGTTCTTTCTTATCTTTCTCCTACATGTAGGCAAAGGCATATAAGAGCATTTCCAACACAAGCGCTAATCTTTTTTACAGCGCGCGCAACGGCTGTTTTTGCGCTTGAGTAGGCAGTTGCTTCATCAGGCGCTGCAAAATTTAGCGCGCCGCTGTAGCACTTCAGCAGGCGCGCTAAAATACAGCGTGCTGTTTGAATAAAACATACATATATGTACACAAAAATTTAAACAATGACATAGTCATATCAAACACTTCACGCGTTGCGCAAATAGCGGTCCCTGGCGTTAGCCACGTCTTGCGATGTCCAGGTAATCAGCTAGCAATAGGGTAGTTTCTAAAAAAAAGAAAAAAGAACTAGCGATAGGAGAAGAGAAAAGAAACGATCCAGTGATTTGGCAGCTTGTTACGTTTGGCCCGTCTAGCAGGTTGCCTTCGTGGGGAAGTTTTCTACAGCATCAATCGACCCCTTTCTCCCTTCGCTTTTCTGCTTTTCCTCTCCTTAATTTTCTGCTGCTGCCGCCGGCCGGTTCGAGCGTAGCCACCAACCGGCGTGAGACCTCCCCCGGTTACTCGGGATTGAAGCCCACACACGCAACCCCTCTCTCCCCCCGCGCTGCCTGTCCGACTCTTCACTCCGTCCTCGCCCGCGGTGGCCGTCGCCGCCCTCACCCACGAGCACCACCTCGTCCAGCCTCATCTCCCCCAATCTTCTTGATTTAGATCCCGGGAGCACACAGTGCGGATCAAGGAGTTGGTTGACAGGTTCGTGAAGGAGATGCGGGAGGCGTTGTGGACGCGGACGTCCCGGACCGCCCCATGAAGGAGCGGGAGATACCGAGCTACATCAGGAGCGCGAGCGTGAGGTCACCGAGAGGGAGGCCGCCTGGAAGGCCGAGCTCTCCCCCACGAGGTAGTAATCAAACCCCATCCATGGCTTACCGTAGTCTCCTTTTTCCACCAGACCGATTCATCTGCGTGTTTATATCCTGGTGTTTATTCATTGAGAAAAGTATGTTTTTGGTCCCTCAAATTCCCAAAAATTATAACTTGGTCCCTTAAATTTTTTTTGTATACATTTGGTCCCTCAAGTCTCAAAACCGGATAAGTTTGGTTCTAAACAAAGTTTTGAGCACCTTGACCGGGTTTGACCGCCACAAAACCGCCTGATGAATAGTAAATTAAAAAAACTAAAAAAACTGAATTTTTTTTTGTGTCCAACATGCTTACATCACTAGTAGAAAAAGGGTCAAATTTGAGACACATTAGTGCCGGTTTGATTTTGAGCCGGCACTAATGTGTCCATTAGTGTCGGTTCCAACGGCTAGTCGGCCGCTCTGATTAGTACCGGTTCGTGGCGAACCTTTAGTACCGGTTCGTGCCACGAACCGGTACTAAAGATTGTGGTGGTAGGATGTTGTCAGTCTGGGGCCCTCCAGCACCTGTAGTACCGGTTCGTGGCACGAATCGGTATTAAAGGTCATCGTACATAAACCCTTCGTCCACCCGAGCTCGCTCTGTTCTTTCCCTTTCCCCTCACTTCCTTTGTTCTTCCCCTCTCTTCCTCGAGCTCATCACAAATTTTACCCAAAATTTGTCAAGATTTGAAGGCCCCCATCCATTCAAATGATCACAAAGGTTAGCAACTTTGTCCTTTCATCTCTCATTGCTAGATTAGCTCTTGCAATGCTTTGTATAGTGATTAATTTGTGAGTTTACTAATTTGGAAGGAATTATATGTGCTAGTATTTGATTTATATGAAATTTGAGGTCAAAAATAACACTTAGTTTGCATATGTAGGTGTGGTTTACTTAGTGCCTTCTAAATCTCCGTCGTAACCACCATCGATCGCCCGCACCGTCCCGTCGTCGGCACCACCTTGTGGTGAGGCTCTTGTTCATGAATGTTTTACATTACCAAATTGATGTTTGTGTGATATGGATATATAGTTACTCATGTAATTATCTTACCTGTACGTTGTTTGTTATTTATAGTGCCATGGTTTTGATATCCGACCCCGTCGGCCCTCGTCCTTGTTATGATTCGGATGTGGTATATTCTCTTTGAAAACTAGTTGTTGCATTTCATGTTTATGACAAATTATGCCCATCAAGTTGACATAGATATTTTTATCTAGGAGGTATGTGAATCGGAAATTCCAACCGACCCTATTGTCGAGAGGTTAAATTTAGTTGAAAGAGAAAACGAGCATTTGAAAGAAAAATTGAAAAGAATTGAGGGGGAGAAGATGGAATTTGAGTTGCATGTTGCCGATGTCATCGATGATCACAAGATCAAGATGGAGAAAATGCGGTTGAAGATTAGAAAGATTAGAAAATATGCCATTGATAGTGTGGCTTGGTATCATTATGCTGTTGGATCAATTGTTACCTTAGTTGCGATCTTGATCGCATTTGTTGTTGCATTTGAATTCTTTAGCTAGAGAGATATTTGTATGTTGCATTTAATTAAGTGTTGTATATGAACTTTATGTATGAACTTGTATTAATTTGGTCTATTCGGTGTTGTGTAATGAAGATGAGCCGACAATGGATGTATGATGACCGATGCTCTCCCGAGTTCATTAATGGCGTGCATACTTTTCTGCTTGCCGCTGAGGCAAACAAGCGGGCGGATGGTTTTATGCCTTGTCCATGTGCTGGCTGTAAGAATGGTCACAATTACTCTAGGTCAAGAACCATTCACGTCCACCTATTTGAGTCCGGTTTCATGCCCCACTATAATGTTTGGACCAAGCACGGGGAAAGAGGGGTTATGATGGAAGACAATGAAGAAGAAGAGGATGACGACATCTATCCTGGCCATGGGTTCCCTGAATACGATGATACAACAATGGGGGAAGAAGCTGAGCCGGCACTGCGGGAAGAAGCTGAAGAAGAGGCATCAGATGAGCCCGCTGATGATCTAGGTCGGGCCATTGCCGATGCAAAGAGAAATTGCGCAAGTGATTTGAAGAGGAAGAAGTTACAGCGCATGTTAGAGGATCACAAGAAATTGTTGTACCAGAATTGCGAAGCTGACAAAAAAAAGTTGGGCACCACACTGGAATTGCTGCAATGGAAGGCAGAGAATGGTGTATCTGACAAGGGATTTGGAAAGTTGCTGGTAATGATAAAGAATATGCTTCCAAAGGACAACGAATTGCCCGAGAGTACGTATGAAGCAAAAAAGGTTGTCTTCCCTCCAGGGTTAGAGGTGCAGAAGATATATGCATGCCCTAATGACTGCATCCTCTACCGTGGTGAGTACGAGGATTTGAGCGCTTGCCCGGTATGCGGTGCATTGCGTTATAAGATTAGTCGCGATGACCCTGGTGATGTCGAGGGCGAGCGCCCCAGGAAGAAGATTCCTGCCAAGGTGATGTGGTATGCTCCTATAATACCACGGTTGAAACGTTTGTTCCAAAACAAAGAGCATGCGAAGGCGATGCGGTGGCACGGAAAAGACCGTAAGAAAGACGAAAATTGAGAGTACCCGCTGACGGTTCTCAGTGGAGAAAAATCGAGAGAAAGTACAGGGAGGAGTTTGCAGGTGACCCAAGGAACGTATGGTTTGGTCTAAGCGCAGATGGCATTAATCCTTTTGGGGAGCAGAGCAGCAACCATAGCACGTGGTCTGTGACTCTATGTTTGTATAACCTTCCTCCTTGGTTGTGCATGAAGCGGAAGTTCATTATGATGCCAGTGCTCATCCAAGGCTCTAAGCAACCCGACAACGACATTGATGTGTACCTAAGGCCATTAGTTGAAGAACTATTACAACTGTGGAATGGAATAGGTGTACGTGCGTGGGATGATCACGGACAGGAAGAATTTGACCTAAAGGCGTTGCTGTTCATGACCATCAATGATTGGCATGCTCTTAGTAACCTTTTAGGACAGACAAACAAGGGATACCGCGGATGCACGCACTGTTTGGATGATACCGACAGTATATATTTGGAGAGTTGTAGGAAGAATGTGTACCTGGGACATCGTCGATTTCTTCCGAGCAGGCATCCTGTACGAAAGAAAGGCAACCATTTCAAAGGTGAGGTGGATCACCGGACGAAGCCTCGCCATGGTACTGGTGCTGATGTACATGATATGGTCAAGAATTTGAAGGTAATCTTTGGAAAGGGTCCTGGCGGACAACTTGTTCCCAAGGACGCTGACGGACGCGCACCCATGTGGAAGAAGAAATCTATATTTTGGGACCTGCCATATTGGAAAGACCTAGAGGTCCGTTCCGCAATCGACATGATGCACGTGATGAAGAATCTTTGCGTGACCCTGCTTGGCTTCTTCTGCGTGTATGGGA